TGTGCCCCCAGCTGGTCCTGAGCTCCCCTACAGGTAGGTGTGTCATGGCTTACATGGATGTTATTCTTTCCCCCTTGAGCCATAACATATCTGTGGAACTTCGGTGCTCACAGAGCTCAGCTGCAGGGGAAATGGCTCCTGTTAGCCTGGACATGGTGACTGGTGTTCCAGAGACTGATCTTACGTTGTTTCCGTATTGTCATCAGTGACCCTCTTGACACCAGGCTCCTCCTGCTGGCAGCTGTGTCCAGCTCTAGAAGCTCCAACTTGTAATGAGGGGACACCAGGAGAGAGCACAGTCTTGGGGGCCTTCGTTATGCTCTACCTGGGGCAGAGCACTGAGGTCAGAAGAACCACAATCACTCATGCTCAGAGGCAGCGGCCATGGATCTGTAGGAATTCCTGAGACCCTCAGATACAGGGGTCCACAGGAAGAGGGGGAGCAAGTGAGGTACCCACAGGCCAGTCATCAGTTCCAGAACAGAATGCTCACATCTGTGCCACTATCGCACCAACACACCTCCAGAGCGTGGCACTGCTGTAAGTCACAGGGTCTGAAGCTAGGCTGACTGCTGTCTTCTCTTCTCCTAGAATGTATAGTTAGGAGCTCTGAAGTACGCTATGGCTAACTATACTAGTCAGTACGGGGAGAACATCACGTTAAATACCTAATCAACCTCTTCATGCTCACTGAGATGTGTAAGTGTCTTCAGCTTTATGGCCTTATCTTCAGTTTACGGAGAGCAACCAATAGCCCTAGCAATTGACTGAGATGTTTGAGGGTTTCCATTGAAATCCTTTCTCCAAAGTCTCAATTTATGAGTGTCTAGCCCATAATGCCCAACTTCCCCATATCCAGTTGTTTATTGAAGGTGAGCCTTGCAATCACTTGGAATCTGCTCTTGTTGGAATTTGAGGTGGAATATAGAGTGGAACTACACCTCTGAGCACCCTGGCTTAGGCACCAGAGTTCCTTCATCTTTACAAAACCGAAGGCAGACAGAGCACTTCTGAACCTGTTGGAAATGAATTAGACTTCTGCCCTGGAGGCGTGGAAGGGACAGCTGTTGTGTCAAGTGTGAATCAGTAGATGGGGGGAGAGGCGGTGTATCCACTCGGTGTTCTGTGAACATCTGCGTGATTATTAGTGTAACACACTCCGAAGAAAAGGAGCAATGCATGGGAGAGACACCCTCTCCCCTCCCCTTAGCCACCTGCTGCAGGTGGGAAATCTAGACCTGGGTCATGAGAGCAGGAGAGCTGCTCCTTTCCCTCACTGGCTACAGCACTCGGGAGAGCTGGCCCTGCACCTTGCCTTTGAAGGACAGTAAAGCTGACCCTGGTGGTGGGTGTGCAAGCAATCTGGTTTCGGTGGCCTGAGCAGGGGAGATCTGGCCCATATAAACAATGAGATGATGGCAGAAAAACAAACACACTGAATGTTTGTTTACCAGCAAGTCTCCAGGCTCAACTATATGATCTCAGGCCCAGGCAGCTTCCTGCTCCCCCAGGGTTTCTGACACACTCAGGATGCGGGTGCAGCACTGTGTGCATCTCTCGCACAGTAATAGACCGCAGAGTCCTCAGCTGTCAGGCTGCGGAGCTCCATGTAGGCTGTGCTGGTCATGGTGTCTGCATCCAGTGTGGCTCTGTCCTCAAACTTCTGTTCATAGTTTGTTCTGCCAATGCTTGGGAGGATGTTTCCAATCCATTCAAGCCCATGCCCAGGCTTCTGCCTCACCCAACTCATATAGGAAATGGGGAAGCTCTCTGAGTCAAAATCCTTGCAGGACAGCTTTACTGAAGATCCAGGAGTCCTCAGTTCAGCCCCAGACTGCTGCAGATGAACCTGAGAGTGGACATCTGGGGAGAGCAAACACAGTGCCTGCTATGGACACTTCACCCCATTCCCCTCCTCATGCCTGAGACTAGAGATTCACTTACCTGTCACTGCTGCCACCAGGCAGAGGATGACCGAACTCCAGTCCATGCTGAGAACCTGTGTGCTGGACTATGGGCAGGAGGGCACCAATGTGGTGTGTGACTGAGAGGACGTCCTTGTATTGGCAACCACGGCTGTCATTTACATATTCATGAGGATGGGTATTAGACCATCACATGCCATGAATATTATCATATCTCTGCCGCCACTTAAGAAGCTGGGAGTTGGGGGACTATGTTATCTGGATTCTCAAAGCCACTGCGAGGTTTTTAGGCAGGTATCCTCAAAGTAAGCTCCTGCTTTGCTTTATTCCTGTTTCCACATGAAAATTATTTTGACTAATAAAAGAGGAAGAAAGTCAATGAAGCAATATAAAGAATATTCCAAAATTTACCTGATCAAGAAATTGAGGAAGAGCCAGTTAATCCATGGCTTGGTTGCAAGAATCAATCTGCCAATTTCAGGAAGTAGATTTGACTGAAGGCACTATGAAGGAGCAGGGCTTTCTTTCTTCTGATGTCTGCTCGTCCCCGCTTAGAACGGGATTTCCATTACCTCCATGTGAAGATTGGTACTGACACCCATAGGTAGGAGTAACCTCGGTTTAAAGCCTGAATGATGAGACACACCATATTCTCTCTCTCTCTCTTTACTTTTTTAAATTTATTTTTTTCATTTATTACAATTTATTCACTTTGTATCCCAGCTGTAGCCCCTTCCTCATCCCCTTGCAATTCCACCTTTCCTCCCTCTTTTGCTCCCATACCCCTCCCTCAGTCCACTGAAGGGGAGGTCCTCCTCTCCTTCCAACTGACCCAAACCTATCAGGTCTCATCAGGACTGGCTGCATTGTCTTCCTCTGGGGCCTGGTAAGGATGCTCCCCACTCAGGGGGAGATGATCAAAGAGCAAACCACTGAGTTCATGTCAGAAACAGCCCCTGTTCGCCTTTCTAGGGACCTATTTGGAGACTGAGCTGCCATGGGCTGCATCTGTGCTGGGGTTCTAGGTTATCTCCATTCATAGTCCTCGGTTGGACTATCAGTCTCAAAAAAGACTCTGTGCCCAGATTTTTTTAGTTCTGTTACTCTCTTTTGGAGCTTCCTGGTCCCTTCAGGTTTTTCTATCTCCCCCTTCTTTCATAAGTTTCCTTGCATTCTGCCCAAAGTTTAGCTATGAGTCTCGGCATCTGCTTTGATACCCTACAGGGTAAAGTCTTTCAGAGGCCCTCTCAGGTAGGCTCCTGTCCTGTTTCCTGTTTCCCACACTTCCAATGTCCATCCTCTTTGCCTTTATGAATGAGGATTGAGCATCTTACCCAGGGTCCTCTTCTTCTCTAGCTTCATTAGGTGTAGACTTTAGAATGATTATCCTACATTATATACCTATTATCCACTTATAAGTGAGCATATACCATATGTGTCTTTCTGCTTCTGGGATACCTCACTCAGGATGACCTTTTCTAGTTCCCTTCTTTACACTGTGTGTAATCCAGGCTCTGATCCTATCCCCATCACACAAGCTTCAATTTGACCGCAACTTCTGGGAATGAATCCCTCATATTCACTGTTGTCCAATGATCTAGGCTCATACATATGCCCTTGACTTCACTCCCCATGACATACCAAGCCCTTCTACCTACCTGCTGGCTTATTCTGTGCCCTAACATCTGCCAACCTGGAAGAGTATTCTAGGCTCCCAAATAACTGTTTACTTCCAATACATTTTATTCAATGATGGTAGCAGGAGTGATCTCCTTTCCTGACTTTAAAATTATTCTTTTTTACTGATTCTTTGAGGATTTTATTTTTATTCTCTTCTATGTTACATCCTGACCACAATCTTCCCATCTCTCTTCCCAGTCCTTCCCCATTCCCTCTACTTTCTCATCAATTCACTACTCGATTTCCCTTCTGGAAAAAAAAAAAAAAAAAGCAGGCCTCCCAGGAGCATCAACTACACAAGGCACAGCAAGTTGCAACATGACTAGGTGCCTCCCCTATGTTAATGCTGGACCAAATAACCCAGTAGGAGGAAAAGGGTCCCAAAAGTTGGCAAAAACATTAGACAGACCCTGCTCCCACTGTTAGAAGTGCACATGAAGACCAAGAAGACAAACATAAGTGCAGAGGACCTGGGTCAGACCCGTTCGGGATCCCTGATTGTAGGTTCACTCTGTGAGTGACTGTGAGCCCGCTTAGTTGATATGGCTGGTTTTCTTGTAGTGTTCTTGACTCCTCTGGCTCCTACACTCTTTCCTCCCCATATTCTGTGAGATGCCTGTCCACAAGTGTCACAAAAAATTCTTAGAAATTATTGCATTGTTTTGTTGTTTAGTTTTTTGGTTTGTGTTTTGTTTGCTTGCTTTCAGTCATGTACGATCCTTTCCTAGGTCTCTGAGCTATCAATCCTCTGGATCCTTGGCCTTCCAGGCAGTGTCAGGGATGGTCTTCCTCTTGTAGCCTGGGTCACAACCTGGACCAGCCAGTGGTTGGCCACTCCCACAGTTTCTACACCTTTACCCTAGGACATTTTACAGGAAGAACAAACTGAAGGTCGAAGGTTTGGTGGCTGTGTTCGTGTCCCAGTCACTCCACTGGAAGTCCTGAAGGATTAGAGGAGATGGCCTGTTCAGGCTCCATGCGCCCAATTAAGAAGAGTCTTAGCTAGGGTCACCTGGTAGAGTCCTGGAAGTTTCCATTGTACTAGGCTTCTACTTTGCCCTGAAAATGCCTTCCAATTCCCATTGTCTCCCCCAGGACTTTTCCCTTCCATTCTCACTGTGGCATGATCTCTCCTCTTCCCGTTCCCACCATAGGTATCTATTCTTTTCCCACTTCCAGGAGATTTGTGCGTCCCAACTTAAGCCCTCTTTGATATGTAACCTCTCTGGTTCCATGGACTGTAGCATGATTATTCTTTATGTTATAAACGATATCCACTTATAAGTGAGCACATACCATGTTTTTCTTTCTGGGTCTGGGTTACCCTACTCAGGATGATCTGTTCTGGTTTCATCCTTTTGCCTGCAAATTTTACAATGTTGGGTTTCTTAATTGCTGAATAAAACTCCACTGTGTAAATGTACATTTTCTTTATCTATTCTTTAGTGGAAGGATATCGAGGTTGTTCCCAGTTTTTGTATAATACAAATAAACCTGCAATAAACATAGTTCAGCAGGCATCCTTGTGGTAAGATAGTACATCCTTTGCATATAAGGTTGTAAGACCTGGGTTCTCACAGCTCAGGAGTTCAAGATCACTCCCTTCCCAGAAACTCCCAGAGACCACGACTCAATGTAAAAGCAAGAGGTTTAATTTAACCATTGTTCAATGGGGTCACCCCTGCCAGTCAGCAAAGAGTGGCACTGGGGACAAAGGCCTTAGGTTTTAAAAGAAAAAGTGCGGGATATTTGAAGTTGCAGTCTTGGCAATTTAAGATTGGATGAGGAAGCTAGAAAGTAAGATAATTGGTTAGTCTTAGGTGCTCAAGCTTGGCCAGTCCTGCCAAGTGTGGATGCAGCTGCAATTGAAGGTGGGGGTGGTTAGCTCATCCTTGAAGATCAGGGCTGCAGGCTTTTGGCTGCAGGTTAGGAGCTACTCAGAAGAAGAATTGGGGCCTTCTGGGTTGGTTGCTAAAAAACATTATCTCGAAGACAAGGGTCTGGTCGCTCTTTTTGCTGTGTGAAGGTCATTGCTTGCTCGCTTTTTATGTATGTCCTCACAGATAGGGTCACATTTCTCCGTTCTCTGGAAAGGTACTAAGAAGCTTTAGCTTAACCTGGACCTTAAACTCAAAACTATAGGCTTTAGAAGACATACAGGTTACAAAGTTAGTGTAACCCTTTCAAGATCAGGAGTGGTCTAGCTAGCTCATGATGTAGGTCAGTTCTCAATTATCTGAGAAATCGCCATATTGTCTACTATCTTGGCTATGTAAGTTTGGACATCCACCTGCAATGGAGGTGTGTTACCCCTGTTCCACATCCTCACCAGCATGAGCTGTCACTTGTGTTTTTTATATGACAGTTGTAAGGTGAAATCTCAGAGTCATTTTGATTTGCATTTCCCCGATGCCTAGGGATGTTAATTAAACATTTCTACTGGGGAAGAAAAGGTTTTATTTGCTTTATGCTTCCAAATCCATAGCCCATCACTGAAAGAAATCAGGACAAGAATTCACAAAGTGCAATCATCTAGAGGCAGCAGCTGATGCACAGGCCATGGACAACTGCGGCTTAATGGCTGCTCCCTATGGTTTGTTCACCCTGAATCCTTAGAGGACCCAGGACCTAAAACATGGCACCACCAACAGTGGGCTGGGCCTTCCCACATCAACCAATCAAGAAAATTCCTTAATTCTCTCCTTCAGCCTAATCTTATGGATCCATTTTCATTTATTTTTCATTAATTCACTTACATATTTACTTATTCATTTTACAGTTTAATCACAGCCCCCTCAATCCTCTCCTTCCAGTTCCACCCTCACACTACCTACCCCCATTCCCCACTCCTCTCCTTCTCAGAAAAGGGGAGCCCCTCCATGAGTACTTATTGCATTATGTCTTGGAATTGTGCATTGTGCATATGCCTCACCTCAAGTCCTTTAACTTTGAACAGTTTAAATAGAGACAGGAGACTTAATGTCTGGGTACTTGGGCATATATGAGATTAGATCAGTTAACAACTCCAGAACAGTATGTTCACACTGAGAATGAAGTAGAGTTAAAGGAAATTTAGAGTTTGAGTTAATCCGGTTTCTGTATTGCATGTGAATCCATGTGCAAGAATGAGGGAGGGAAGGCATGTCTTTCACAAAGAGCTTTATGGATGAAGTATTTATGTCTGTAGAAAAATTCTCTCTGTGTCTACCTTCCCAAGTCCAGGGCCCTCTTATATCTGGACAGGGTATGTATAAGTAAATCTTTTCAGGAGTTGAGCAGTGTAATTGGTGCAGGAAAGATCTGAAACAGAGTCCAATAAATAAGGGAAACCAAGAGCGATGTGGAGGATTTTTGTGTCATGTGTATTTAACTGTCTGAAGTGTAT